ATATATAGCTATATAAATTATGAACATACAGTTTTAATGCTGACTACTATTCTTTAATTGTAAATCGAGCCAATGATCTGGCCATATTACAATATCATATGTCATGCCATGACATTTAATTTTCATATTACGCTTGTTTGTTTGTTTATCGAGCTGCACCAATAACAAAAAGACTAGCTTGTTGATTTGGCAATTCTTCTGAAAGAAGGTAAAACTAATTCAAGTAAAATAAAATTAATAAACAATAAGTTTTTATTTTGTTTGAAGTTAAGCACAAAGCTACATAATGGGCTATCTGTGCTCTGCCCACCACGGATATCGAAACCAGGATTCTAGCGTTGTAACTCCGCAGACATACTGCTGTGCCACTGGAGGGCTCATCTTGCGCACTACCTGTCATTGCTCAATTATGCATGCGTGTGTATGTGTATTCTGAGATTAAACTGATTTCCTCAAAAGTATTAGATAGGTCCACTTTCTCATATTCTTATTCAAAGGCTACTTTGTTTTTGTTTTTTTTTAAATGAATGTTTAATTTTGTGTTGAGAAACAGTGATGAAACATTTGACACTATCCTTTGATAGTCACGGTTTAATAATGTTCCATCATCAGTAAGTGGTGAAACTCGACAATGTTTTACAGGCCTTATGAAATAAATTATAATTGGCAGAATTTAGCTAAACTAGATTATTCAGCTAGAATTACTGTTGCCAGAATTAATATTCGTTCTGTCACTACGTTGCACATCAATACATTTTCAAATCAACTACAGTTGAGTACAATAAGCCACGGTAACTGGGAATTATTTTCCGAAATAGCTGCCAACGGCAGACCATGGAGACACTATCACTTTACACAGTCGATATATTCATGTTAGTTGGCATAAAAGCAAAGTAAGTAAAGATAATGTTAATGAAATAAGATCTACTCCATTGGACATAGTCTCCCAATACACTTTTTCTGCATTTTCTCTCAAGAAACCCATAGCTTGTTTGGGAGAAATTCTGCTATTCTGATAAGGGTACATAATTTTCACAAAATAATGGACTAATTTTTTGCAAAGGAAAATCATTAAGTGGCCCAGAAATTAAGGGTAGCACAACCTTTTCAGTTGTTGGTTTTCTGACTAAATAGCTATCTTCACTTGGGGTTATTGAGCAGTCATCAGAAAAATTCCATCCCTGCATTCTGTCAGACTAAATCACTACTGAACCCTCAAAAAGCAAAGGTCTCAACAACACCCTTTCATAATATGTAGGCAAACAACGATATATAAGCATGAGGAAGAATTTTATTGATGGCGTAATGTACTACATGTTTCGACAAAACAAAACATAATATGTTTCTTTACTCAATTAGCACCCTTTCAGTTGTTGGTTTCCCAGCCAAACACCCATCTTAACTGTGATAATTGAGTAGACAATCACACAATGTCTTGCATAGTGAAATACCACCCTACCAGCTGATTGCTCAGAAAACAAGGAACTCTACTCTTTTGAGTAATTGATCTTTCAATCAAATTATTGTCATGATCAAATGGAAACCATAAGATGTAGTTTGTACTTTCTGTCATACAACACCACCTGATAGCTTGGAAAGTAAGGATTCCAAAGCTCTTTCAACCATCAGTTTCTTAATCAATCAACTGTCCTAAATGCTATAATCAAATAGATATTGGACAGTGTATTGCATAAATTACAAGGTGAACACCACTTGATAGCTTGGAAAGTAAGGATCGATATTACCATTCTGTCAGTGTCTTTAGTGCTAATCTGGCAATTATTCCCTGCCATAATGATCAGGGGGTTGTTGATGATGTCCCAGTCAACCACAGGAGCTTTCTGGCACTTCTTTAGGTGCTTCCTCATCTAGATCGTTGAACACAGATATATAAATACTTTCATCTACCACTGCCAGATCTGTCTCCACTTGAAAAGTCCTTAACTTGACTGTTTTGACATTGTATTTTTTTCTACTGTAAGACAGCCTTTCTTAGCTCCTGATATACAAGTTCAGGCACATCTGCCAGTACTATTTTCACCAACTCCACATGTACTTGTGGACATTGTTACAAGGAGGTGGGCCATACATAACATCTATAGGATCATCATTTCCCACTAAAACATGAACATATTGGGTAAACACTGGTATGATGTACAGAAAGTGTTCATTTTAATCAATTAAACGGGGATTTAAAACTTTTCAATCATATGCTTAACAATCTGTATCACTTTTCCAGTCAAACCATTCAAATGAGTGTGATAAGATGAAGTGCACTTTTTCACCACCTCCAACACTAAACAACTCAGAGAATAACTGACTGTTTAAAGTAATTCCCTGATACAGATGTGTTAAAATGTGCTCTCCATTCTTCTGCCAACACATCAGCAATGTACTATATTAAAGTACAAGACATATGGGTATGCTTCATCCCACTTAGTACAGTAATTAATAAAAATCAACACATATCAATTACCTTACTCGGTTCTGAGGGTTATCAATATCTATGGTTTTTCTCTGAAGAGAATAACCAACATTTAGTTGCTAAAGTTTACACTGTCCAGGCCAGTGTTTCCTCTTGGCTGCACACATGATGGAGTAATGGTACGAGTGCTGAGCATTATAATTCAAACCTGACCAGTAGAATTGTCGTCAGATGTCTGTACTAATGTGAATAACTATTTGGTGACTTCTAATCCTTACATCATGCAAGATCTGGGAAATTTGATACCTCAGGGCAAGGTGTGTCACTAGCTGCAACACAGATTAAAGTCCACATCTAGTAGGCTAATAAAATTAATGGAATACACTATTGTGCACCTGTGTTGCATTCTCCAACCTGTGCTGACCATACATCCCTTGCTGCGTGGCAAGGAGCACTCGTGTTAGTTTGAAGTCTCTCAACTGCTTTTTCCAGAGCATTTGAGGGTCGACTTTTAGTATCCAGTCACCTATAAAATTGTATACTATATGGTTCTGTATTATGACAGCTGAAATGGCTTTTACATCAACTCAGTGTCCTAAATCAGGATATTAAGCAAAAAGACATGGTCTCACTGTGCAGTGAGATAGTCTCTCTAATCTTACATGCTACACTCTTGTATGATGACATATGAGCATGCCATATTCCTGCAATGTTGTGATTGAAGCTCTCAAGCTCGTGAACCACTTCAGCAATGCATGACCCACCCTGCCATACAAGCGATGTTGATAGTGCTTCATTAATATCACAACTACAAACAGTTTTTTGTTATGCATTATCTACCTTCAGGAATTGTGAGCATATAGCTCCTGTGTGCTATCACTCATTCAGGTTCATAGCAGGATGCTCAAATGTTTGGTCAGATCTAAGACATTATCCACATATACCAAGGATGTCTACCAAAACGGCCCTATTAGCATAGGCTAAACTAACTTCAAAATGGGCCAGAACATTACATATGCTAGATGGAATGACTCGGAATTCAAACAAAACAACCCCCTGTACTATAAATAGAGTTTTGACTCTGCTCTATGGATCAAATTTGAGTTGCCAGCCTCCAGCGGCCAAAGTCTAGAATATTGAACCATTGGACACCTTCCAGTATACCCAGACATTCATCTGTTCACGGTAACAGAGAGCATCAATGCCTATCAGAGCATCACGCTGCAGAAACCAACACAAACTGTCATTGACATCCTCCTTCCTGATTATCACCACTGGAGATGACTACACACTCTTGAAAGGCCATGTAATCCTGTCCTTTAGTACTTGTGTTATCTTAGTGCTTCAGGGAAGCCTGTGGACTGTTTGTTTTATAGGACTCGATCACCTTTT